TGCAGGTTGTGATTTGTATATGAACTTTTGTAAAAAGTTTTGTATGAAGTTGGTAGTATTTAGATTTATCTGATATTTTTGTATTGTTCGATTGAGAACTTGTGTAACTATTTGTTCAATTGGATGTGTGTTCGCTGTGCATATAAGCCAATGTTGATTATCTTCATTTGTCTGCGTACATCTGTGGCATATAGGGTTGCTGTATTTTGCTGGGTGTCGAATATGTAAATTAAGAAGTGTTGGAAGTTCATCCATTATTAGTTTTATTTTGAAGGTTTTGATTTTGGTTTGGGTAGGATGTGTGTGTCGGCTTAAAGGGCTGTTGTGATAGTTTATAAGGTTGAAGGTGAGTTCCCAGTTGATTTCTTTTGGATCTAGGTTCCATAAGTATACTCTATTTAAATTGTGCCAATCTGTTATGTTTTTTGCATTTTGTAGGTGCCTTAATAGTCTTCTTGGGTTATGTGGAAATGCGTGATAGCTAAGTTTGGGAGTGTAAGTGTTGTGCAGTATCAGCTCAGTGTTGATTTCGGTAGTGATAGTTGCGCTTGTAGGGATTGGTTTGATTGCAGTGTTAGTAGTTGATATTTGTACTGTTAGGTCTTTTCTCATAATTGCTGCTTTTATAGTTGCTTTGTGGATTCCAAAAGGTGTAGCTAATAGTTGGTTAACAAGGTATGTAGAGGTTTGAATTATATTTGTAAAGTCATGATCTAATTGTTTTTCGTCAGTAATGATGTTTAGTGTACAAGCATGTGGTACTACAGTAATTAGCGTTAGCAACGCTGTTAGTAGAGCTTTTCTTTTAGATGGCCAGGTTAGATTTGAGACTTGGAAGTCAAAAGGTGTGTTGGTTATTGTCCAGCAGGCTATGGGGTTGTGTGTTGGGTTCGTGCCATTAGGCTGTATATTTATATTCACGTTTAACGTTGTTTTTCCATAGAGAGATCTGTAAATTTGCTATAATTTTTGTTGTAGGTTGGGTGTAGCATCCATTAAGTTTTTTGAAATCTGATCTTTATATGTGGTGAAGGTATGTTTTCGTTGTATTTTTGTAGTATTAGGGTAGGGCTGTATAGGAGTTGTGTTTAAATCCTTGATGTTTGCGTGTATATATTTCTTTTTGTCCACTTGTATGTGTATTAAATTTTGCACAGAGTCTTTAAGGTAGCAGCATTGTTGATTTGAGGGACTAAGTCCACATCCCATGCATTTGGTTAGTCGGTGGAGGTTGTTTGGTGATTGTTTCCAGTGTCGAAAGGTGATAGTTTGATTTTTTCTTCTTGAAAATTTTCCAAAGATCTGGAGTCGTGGGTTATAGACCCATGCAATATGTTGATTGTTTAGAGGTTGTGCAGTAAAGGGATTGGGT